GCCAGCCAGACAGGAGAGATTTAGGGGCTGGGTCCAGGGGGTTTATCCCTATGGGTTTTATAATCAGCATTCCAGGGTAAGCGGCTCTTCCATCAGATTACACTGTGCATCATGGATGAAACTACATGGAATCCACAGGAGACACGTTGGAAGAAGACACATGTTCACGGTGGTAATTTGGGAATCCATGAAGGGCCAGTGGCCGGGCAGCCTGTTCACTGCCTCATAAAGTAACACTCCGGTTCTTGCTGCTACAATCTGTCATTGGTCTGGACGGTGGCAGCAGGTTCCCGGGATAGAACATGAACGAGAGGGAGGGACGTGATGGGAGATGGTGGATCAGGGACTCGGCCTGCCTTTGGGAGAGGCAAGGTAGCTGTGGCCTTTGTGTGCTGTTGGGGGAGGGGAAGGGCATGTCCATATGGAGGAATGTGTGTGTCAGTGTGTGTGTGCTGGGAGTGAAGTTAGGACTGCTGACCGCACAGGCAGAGACTAGGCGTCACTAACTATAAGCTTGTGATATTTCCTAGTACCGATTTTAAATCCAGTTTTTATTAAGAGTCATAATCGTTAGCATTGAGACAGAACAATAATACGGATAATTGAGGTAATAGTTATTGGATCCTTACTCTGCATTGGACATTGTGCTAAAAACCTGCCATCCAGTGCTGGTTGTGTGCTTGTTCGGTGCGGACCTGGTACCTCTTTGGTGAAGTGGCAGCTGAGGAGACTCTGGTGCTCGCCATGGCCAATGAAAAGCCCAAGGAAGGAGTCAAGACTGAGAACGATGATCATATTAATTTGAAGGTGGCGGGGCAGGATGGTTCTGTGGTGCGGTTTAAGATTAAGAGGCATACACCACTTAGTAAACCAATGAAAGCCTATTGTGAACAACAGGGTTTGTCAATGAGGCTGATCAGATTCTGATTTGATGGGCAGCCAATCAATGAAACAGACACACCTGCACAGTTGGAAACAGAGGATGAAGATACAATTGATGTGTTCCAGCAGCAGATAGGAGGTGTCTACTAAAAAGGGAACCTGCTACTTTACTCCAGAACTCTGTTCCTCCAGACCAAGAAGACATTCTCAATTAGAAAGCCACAATTTGGTTCCACCACATCCTGACTACTACAGTATAGTTTTCTCTATTCTTTCATTTTCCCTTTCCCTGTTCCTTTATTGTACATAAAGTAACTGTGTATGTGCACAAGCATATCGCAATTTTTTAACTAAATGGCCAATGGTATGTTTTGATCGACATCAAATGGAGATGGGATGGGGAAAAATACTGCTTCTGTGAAAATATCCCCTCTCCCCATTAGTGGCATGCTCAGGCAGCTCTTATCTTCATATTCCAGTAAGTTATTTTGCTCTCACTGTTTAACAAAAAAAGAACAACATAAAAATCCTTGCATACCTTGTTCGACTGGAGAATTTTAATGTTTTTCATTTATCATTGTAAAACCAAGGACAATTTTATAACTTTTTTGTACGTAGCTGTTACATGTATGGCAATCTGTCTTTAAGTGGGGATATATTACTCTAAAAGAAATGAATCCTAGGTAGTTTTCCCTTCAACTCAAGCATCTTGTTGTTTAAATAAACTTCTTGTTTAAAAAAAATAAAAATCAAAACCTGACATTCAGTGTGTGAGTATAATTTTTTTTTTCCTAGAGCCATTCTGTGAGTTAGGTACTATTATCATTTCTCCTTGGTAGAGGAATCGAAATGTAACATGATGTAACTGGTCATGGCCTTAAAAAATTTTTTTTATTTATTTATTTTTGCGAGAGCGAGAGAGCGCACACACGAACGGTGGGGAGGGGCAGAGGGAGAAGCAGACTCATGGTTGAGCACGGAGCCTGATGCGGGACTCAATCCCAGGACCCTGGGATCATGACCTGAGCCAAAGGCAGACGCTTAACCGACAGAGCCACCCAGGCGCCCCTGGCCTTAAAATTTTTAAATGCTGGAATGAGGCTTTAAACCCAGATGGATCTGACTTCTGAGTCTGTGCTCTGGCGAAGGCACCCTGTTGGGTCTCAGCCTAGACACGTGACGGGAAGATCTGATGGGGACTGACGTGGGCCTGGAAGTGTGGTGGTTCTGGATGCCCACTGTCTGGATGCTGCAGAGGAGGAGGTTCTGCACTGGGTGAGAGATTGTGCCTGGTCACCTCTGAGTAGGCTGGTTGCATAATTTATCCTCTGGACTGGGGCACATTGGGAGTAAATGGGACTTTATTAATAATTAAGCTTAGAATAGAGGCATAGATTAGTCTCACTACTGGATTTTCGCCAAGTTCATGAGTCTGGGAGGCACTTGTGGGCTTCAGATGAATTTAATACATGGCATCCATCATGTTTCCAATTCCAAGAAATCAGTTGCTTTCTTATACACTAAAAACACAACTGTAGAAAGAGAAATTAGAGAAATGATTCCATTTACAATAGCACCAAAAACCATAAGATACCTCGGAATAAACCTAACCAAAGAGGTAAAGGATCTATACTCTAGGAACTACGAAACATGAAAGAAATTGAAGAAGACACAAAAAGATGGAAAAATATTCCATGCTCATGGATCGGAAGAATAAACATTGTTAAAATGTCTGTGCTACCCAGAGCAATCTATACCTTCAATGCCATCCTGATCAAAATTCCAATGACATTTTTCAAAGTGCTGGAACAAACAATCCTAAAATTTGTATGGAATCAGAAAAGACCCCGAATCACCAAGGAAATGTTGAAAAAGAGAAACAGAGCTGGGGGCATCACGTTGCCCGATTTCAAGCTATATTACAAAGCTGTGATCACCAAGACAGCATGGTACTGGCACAAAAACAGACATATAGACCAATGGAACAGAATAGAGAACCCAGATATGGACCCTCAACTCTATGGTCAAATAAACTCTGACAAAGCAGGAAAAAACATGCAATGGAAAAAGGACAGTCTTTTCAATAAATGGTGCTGCGAAAATTGGACAGCCACATGCAGAAGAATGAAACTTGACCATTCTCTAACACCATTCACAAAGATAAACTCAAAGTGGATGAAAGACCTCCATGTGAGACAGGAATCCATCAAAATCCTAGAGGAGAACATAGGCAGTAACCTCTTTGACATTGGCCACAGCAACTTCTTTCAAGATACATCTCCAAAAGCTAGTGAAACAAAAGCAAAAATGAACTTTTGGGACTTCATCAAGACAAAAAGCTTCTGCACAGCAAAGGAAACAGTCAACAAGACAAAGAGGCAACCCACAGAATGGGAGAAGATATTTGCAAATGACCCTACAGATAAAGGACTGGTATCCAAGATCTACAAAGAACTTCTCAAACTCAACACCCAAAAATACTCAGAAATATTTCTTGAGCTCCTGCTCTGTCCTGTGCATTGTGCTAACTGCTTCTGATTTTCTGGGAAACATGATTGTCAAGGTCTCTGCTGGGAATGTGTTGTCTAGATGGAAGAGGAGAGAGGGCAACAAGAAGGCACCACTGCTACCTGGGTCATTTTCTCCAGAGCCCACCCCGCACATTGGGATCTTGTTCCATGGTCTCTCTCCTTCCCTTGGCTGGATCTCCAAGCATGAATACTCTGGCGGAGGGTTGGCTATTTTTATCAGGCACAATAAGTGAACTGAAGACACTTGAGTGGATGTAAGTAGAAAATTGGAATCAAAAAGTCAGAAAAATAATTTGCACCTGAGTTGCTTGGTGTGTCCACCAGCCTTGCGAGCCACACGGATACAGAATGTTTGTTAAATTCTGAACCTTCCAGCCAGGTCCCGGAGCAGTAAGTGCGAGTGTTTCTCTGAAGTAAATTCATCTTGGTGAACGTGAGTCTGTGTTTTTAGGGGCCAGCAAAATAAGACACTTGAATATAGTAGGGATTGTTTTATTCTTTATAAAAGAACCTAGCCACTATCTATCTATAAGCCTTCTATTTTGTCGTTTGGATAGTATTTGCTGTATATTTTATGTATTTATGACAGGCGGAAGATATATCTTAAATAATCACATTCTATGGTGGCAGCAGATGTAGATCCTGGTTTATAGAAAATACAAAATAAATGATTGTTATTATAACTATTCTCACATTGCCAATACCAATTTACTACCGAGAGGTCACAAAAACTCCCTACTTCCACCAAACGTGAATAAAGCTCCCCTGAGTACTCTTTCTGACTAGTTCCTGACTTTGGGCCTGTTATGTCCAATTTTAGCAAGAAGCCTGCTGGGTCAGTTTAGCAAAACACCTTCACCTTGATATCTGATCGAATATCTCATCCCTAGCCCTCCATATCCTATCACCCTGCCCTGCCTTCGGCAAGACTCGTGTTCAGTCCACCAGTCCACCTAGTGAGAATTCTCACAGACCCGACATGTCTTCTCAGTGGTTTTTCATTACAGACCCCACTCTGCTTCTTGGCTGTAAATCTCCATTTGATTGTCTTGGATTCAGAGCTGAGTCCTATCTCTTTCCTCTACTACAAAACCCTCTTACAATTGCCCCCTTGGATAAAGTCTACCTTACTATCTTTAACAAATGTCATGAATAATTTTTATGTAGCAGAAGGCCCTGTCCTAACTATGAGCACAACATAAGGAGAGGGAAGGGGCAGCAAAAGGTATGGACCACGCCTGTGATGAATGCATCCTGAGGCCTGAAGCAGGGTGTCCACCAGGCTGAGGACTGGCTTGGGCCATGGAACTGGTGGGGAGGTGGTCATACGGGACTTTGGACCCAGAGGAAATGGGTAGTTAGCAAAGCCCTGCCCACATAAGCCCCTGTCTTGGACCTGGCACAGTGGGATGTCCAGAGAGTGAAGGGGCAGGGACTGCTGCCCAGCAGATCCAGCCAAGCAGCAGCTCCCCCGCTCAGCCAGAGGCAGTCTCAAGGGAACAGGAGGGGCACGTGGGACATCCTCTGTCCTTGGAAGTATCCAATGGGGCTAGGTCTGTGGGAGCCTTTCCTGGGCCTGGGCGGTGGTGAAACCTGCCTTGGTGGGTACACAAAAGGAAGCTTCTGCCCACAGCTTGGGAGCAGTCAAGTCCAGGTTCTAGAACAATCTGTCCTCGCCCTTGCTGGGCAGTCTGCTTCCTTCTCCAGCCAGCCTGTGCATCTTGCTGCCGTCCTAAACTGAGATGGACAAGTCCCTGCTCCTGCTCCTGCTGCTGGCAGTCTTCCCTTTTGTGTTCTTCCAAGGAGTGGGTGAGGCCCTGGGGCAGCCGGGCAGGGGTGAAGGAGCAGCCCCAGGGTGGTGGCCTGAGCTGGCTGGGAGGGAACAGGGTTAAGGATGAGGTTCTGGGATGATCTGCCCCCCCCAAGGGTTTAAGGTCTCTGTCTGCTGTCCCCACCCCGACTACTCCCAGGGAAAGAGTTCAGGTTCCTTCCTAAGATCTCAGCGTGGAGTCAGTCACTCCCTTGGGGCAGATTGGGGCCAAGGGCTCTTCCCGCTTTAGGGCCTTGGGGCTGGCTGGGATGGCCCTAAGGAGCAGAGCCAACGGTAGCTCAAGACTTTCTATAAAGAAGCAGCCTAGAGTAGTGTTCTAGAAGGAACAAGTCATTGAATGGCTTATGCTGAACCAGTATTGCCATAGCAAGTGCATTGTTGCCACGTGGATGTGTTTGGGCATCAGATGACTTTTACGGGGAGGTACGGTAGGAAATTTTGTAAGACTGCATCCCTACTTTGGAGCCTCTACAGTCCTTATGTCCTATCATTTTCTAATAGATTCCTAGCCTCAGGCAGCTGTGTGTAGATGTTCTCATTGAGTTCTGCATAAGAACACCATAACTAAGCCCTTTCACTTTATTTTTAACGGAATCAAGATGCCTGTGTCAAAGGCCCATAATCTTAAAGAATCAATGGACTTGGGCACCTGGGTGGCTCAGATGGTTAAGTGTCTGCCTTCGGCTCAGGTCATGATCCCAGGTCCTGGGATGGAGTCCCATATCAGGCTCCCCGCTCCTTAGGAACCTGCTTCTCCCTCTGCCTCTCTCTCTCTCTCTCTCTCTGTCTCTCTCTCTGTTTCTCATGAATAAATAAATAGAATCTTTAAAAAAAAGAATCAGTGGACTTAATCCAATAGGGGAGCATTTCCAAGCCTTAAGAGTATATTGGAAGAAGTGTTTAGGGTCATGGTTTCCCCTTGAACTCTTCATTCCTACCAGTATCCTAGCACACCTTTGTCTCAATCCATTCAACCCTAGGATTAACCTTCATGTCTCTTTTCCACAGGTCCAGCCACATTATGCATGGTCTGCAACAATTTTAAGAGAGGTCATTGTTTGAGGGGCAAGGGCAATTGCACCATGGAACAAGGTCCTGGCTGCAGAACCAGAGATTTCTTCATTTTCACGGAGCGAGGTAATGCTGTCGAGCCAGGCTCTACTGGCTTGAGCTGGCGCCTGCCTCCTGAAACTGTGGAGGGGCCCTCCAGTCTGAGGGAGCTTTGCTGGGAGGTGGGTGTGCCCCTAGTCTAGAAGCCAGGCTGGGCATGGTTGGGGAAAGTCCTCTTACTTTGAGCTCCAACTATTGCTCTCTGACGCTGAGTATGAACGTCCTTCTCTTCCAGATGGGTGGCGCTACAACCACACTGAACTGGACTGCTCTGATCATTGCCTACCTGTAAGTTTCCATCTAGGAGCCATGAAGATTTCAACCTTCTGCTGTAAAGGTCGAGATTTCTGTAATAGATATCAAGGAAAAGGACAGGAATGGAAGCCTCGCTAACTGTTCTCCCCCTGTTGGTGGAGGTGTCCACTCCCCCGTCCCCATCCTTGGCCATCCTTGACCCTCTCTGGGCCTCTCTCCCTCCACATGTGCTCCTGAGGAGCACACAGCATCCTCCGGTCTCCTCCCAGTTCCCCTCCTCACTTCCCTCCTGCCCACGAGCTCCTGCCCCCCCAACACCAGACACTGTCTGGTCACCCTTGGTGTCATCTCACCTGCAAATGCAGCGCTCCTCACCCTGCATCTCCTCCTCCCTCACAATCACTTGGCTTCTCTGGCTGACAGGCTGCCTGGTTTCTAGTCCCACAACTCAGGAGTGACTGTGATGTACACAGACAGGGCAGGGGTTCCATTTCGCACATCAGGAGTTGGAGGGGTCAGTGGAAAACTCAGGAAAACCTGTCCCACTGGCAGATGGACAGAGAAGAAGGTGCCAAGGCCTGAGGCAGCAGAGATGGGCTCACCAGCTTTAGAGGCTACGCACATTCTCTGAACCTACTGATGGCTTCCATTGTCCGGGGAGGGGAGTGGGAGCAGGGCTGGTGAATCACAGACACAGGAGACCATGGGAATGGAAAGTGGG